TCTAGTTAGAGTAACACTGACATCCTGTTGTACCCCCCAATTTTCGAGCGCGGGTTGATCAAGTACTTGCCCAAAAATCAGGGAATATCAAAATAATAAATAATATACTAGCACGAAATACAAATGGATAAATAAAAATAATAAATAAATAACCATTGAAAGGAAACTAATATAATAATAAAATAAATCCTCTAATACCAAAACCTCCAAATAAATCTAATAATAATAAACCTCAATAATTATCATAACCTTCAAAGTACAACTCGGGAATCCTCAAATCAAAGACCCTTATAATCCCATAACTGAAATAATAATGTCTAAATAACTAAATCCTAACAATAAATAAAAATCTGAGAGAATGTCCTACATCGATAATCCGGAAGAGTGAATATAGATGCTTTTTGATCAGCACAAACTACCTCTAAGTCTGGAACTGATGTGGACCTGAAAAATAAGTTGTGGGTTAGACACACGAGCAAGTTCTATCCAGTGCGACCCAATCAAAGAACCAATAAACAATGCATTTATAGCTAATACTCATGCTATATCTATATAGTCATACATACATATAAACACTAACGGACTTTCCACTATGTATAGGGTAGCTTCAACCTGATAGAGGGTATCACCTAAAAAACCGTAACAAAGTGGTCAAGAGTCCTCTATACTACCAAGCCTACCAGTCAGATATACAAGTTACTTGTCTCTGGTAATATACGCCTAAGCACTGATTCTGAGACAACAAACTCGTATTAGGCCTTACATATATAATATAATATCATCCACAAAGCCATATCTAACAATAACACAATGTAGTATGTTTAGACTTAATAGCCAGCCCACATACTCATCAAAGCCATATGTAACAATGCCACAATCTATGTGAGACTAAACTTATTAGCTAGCCCACACTTCATATATACACATTAAATCCATCATAGCCATATCTAACAATGGCAGCATATTACGTGGAATTAAGCTTATTAGCCATCTCAAAATTTTCATTACATACATACATTAATTCTTGGATTAACCATATCTAACAATGCTAAATCATATAAATACGGTCGTATATCATGTTTGTAGATCATAAATACACTAGCATTCATTATTAAAATTATAAATCAGCTGTATGCATTTAATTACACAATTTAAATATCATAAAAGATTAATTCACAACTTAATAGTGAATCTAATCTTTTCTATCAAATCCTGTATCGTAAGAGATTCAATTTCATGCATTTAAAGCTTAAGACGATATTCCCGAAGCTTAAGAACATGTTTGGGATCTATTAAAATCAATTCGGAGTCATTCGGAACAATTTTGGTGAATTCAGGTCCTAAATCTCGAGCACAACCTTACTGTGCTTGAGCACAGCCCAATGCTCGAGTACAACCCCTAGTGCTCGAGCACTGGTTCTCGGAAGAGCCCAGCGCTCAAGCACCAACCACTATGTTCGAGCACTGGTTCGCGAAACCAATTCGACAGGTCTGTTTCAAGTCTGAAAATCCATCATTACAGGTCCTAAATTATGTATCTATGTCCCAATTGATTCCCATGATACATTTACATCATAAATACATGTTTCAAGCAATTAAAATCGAAGTTTAACCCATTAATTTACAAGATCAAGCACTATATATACATATACAATTAATTCCAGACCAAATTACAGCAATTAATTTGAATTAAAATCATTGTTATTAATCCCTAAAGTCCAACAAAAGATTAAAAGTTTATGGGTACAAAAGGGAGGAGTAGAATAAGAACTTGCCTTATGATCGATTTTCGGATTGAAAATCAAACTTCAGATTTTTCGGTCTACTTTCCCAACTTCAGCGACTTTTAGATTGCTGAAATTCTTCCTATAGGTCCGGTTTCTACCCAAGCACAACCTCCTTCCTCCCTTGGTCTTTGTTGAATTCAATCTCTCAAACCTTCACAAAACCCTCTCTTTATTTGCACGTACCAAAAACCCTTCCTCAAGTAATTATATATGTGTATATATATATATAAAATACCCAATACACTAACATACAAATAACCCTAATCCTAATATTAATTGGACTAACAAATACTTAATATAATTATATAATACACATAATTAAAATAAATAAATATATATACACATATATAACTATATATATATATATATATATATATATATATATCTACACACACATGGGCCGATAGTCTTCCAGCCAACTAGATCTTTAAATCCTCAAGGCTTTCTCCTTCAAAGCCCAAACTCATAGTCCATATTTACTTAGTCCAACTAATTTAAAACTAAAATAAAATAACACAAATAATCAAATAAATCAATCAATAATTAATTAAATACACAAACACAAACACAAACAAGAACAAGAATTGTCAATAGAACACCTCACAAACATCTTGGAATTAAATAATTCTAACTACACACTTAATTAATCAATTAAATAAAAAATAAAATATATACAATTAAACCATCAAATCAAATAAACAATTAACCACATAAATAATAACAATTAACAAATAAAAGAATATAAATCAAATAAAACTAATTAAATTAAATAAAATGAATACTCCGAAAATTATGGGTATTACACATCCCTTTTCATAAAATCCATCAGTATTGTTTAGTGATATTTTGCCTTAAAAAAAATTGTAAACCCAAATCTTCCTTTAATGCTACGTTAGTTAGTGTAGGAATGAAATGGAATGCCGATTCTAACTATTCATTTGTTTGTTATGCAATTTAAAGTTTGAATGGTTATTCCATTGGAATGAAAATCCATTCAACAACTAAACCTATGAAATGACCATTTTATTCCCAAAGTAATTTTCTAAAAAAAAATAAAGTTCCCCTTTTAATTTTCAAGTCCAAAAACCGTTACCACACCACTATCGCCTCCACAGCCTTTGACCACTACCATCTACATCGTTACCGCCACCACCATCGACTTCCACCACTAACACCTTCGACCACTGCCACCTCCATTACCTTCCACCACTATTATTGTCACCACTATCGCCACTACTGTCACACTGTCACAACCACTGCTACCTTCCGCCACCAACACATACACCACTTTCTCCTTCCACCATTATCACCACCATCACTGCCACCGCCATTACTGTCGCCGCCTTCCACCACAACCACACCACTACCGTCTCCACTGCATTCTACCGCCACCTCCACTCGACCACAATCGCCACATCCACCACCACCGCCACTGCCACTGCTTTTCGCCATCACCTCCACCACTATCGCCACCTCCACCTCCACCTCCACCTCCACCCCCACTGCCTTTCGCCATCACCACCGCCATTTTCTACCACCTTTCAATACCGCCACCTCCACTGCTTTCCATCACCGCCACCACCACCACCGTCGCCCCCACTGCCTTCCTTCACCGTCGCCCTTGGGGTTTTACAAAAATAAGATAATGTTTGTGATGTATGTTATATTTATTTGTTCAAACTCAATCTAACTATTTAGTTGACTAATATTATATATTTTTCTCCTTAGTTTCTTAAACGATGGCTTGTTATATTAGGCATGCTAATATTTATTACTGGTGCAGGGTAGCAATAATAAACTGTTGTCCAGCAACTGTAGCAATGCAAAACCTCAAAGAAGAGGGATTTGTTGTCAGCAATAAACAAGCAGAAAAACAGAGAGATAAAGTAATAGAATCAAAGTTGGAAAGTAGATAGGTGTGTTCTAAGGCAAAGAGACCTGACAGAAACTCTAAATCCATTTTTCTGTAATAAAAATTGCATACAAAGTCTCTTAATAGACTATTTGTACTAGGGTTATTAGTCTAGCATCCTAGCCATTGACAGTCACATGATTATTTAAAAAGGCTACGACTATAACTATCATGTACCAAATAACATAAAACATTAAAATTGAATAAAACACATAGAAAATAAAATAAGCAGATAACTAGAATCCAAGCCTATTTGGCTACCAGTGGGCCCGATTTGACTTAGGAGGCTTGTAGATGCTCCTCGCTTCCCTTCGTAAATAAGTAATACGTGTCTTGCAATGTTAAAGTATACTGATTATTTTTCCTTGCAAAAATAAGTAATACATATAGGTTAAAATTTTTTTAAAAAATAATAAGTAGAGAATCATAGATGTGAAGTTTGTGCAACTCCATCATAAGTTACTATCTTTATTAACAAGCAAGAGTTGTTAGGTATCCCATGAGGGAGTTTAACATCACAACATAGGCTACTTGTTTAAATTGTCTGTATAAAAAAACAACCTAAAAGAGGAAATAGAATTATAATCCTAATAATTTCTAGGGAAAATTACATATAAATGGAGTTAAAGTTCCATATTTACTTAGAGGCTGAGTCAAAGTTCCATATTTCTCTAAAATGGATTGCTGAGGTGGCACATGGTTTTTTACTGTTTAGAAATTCTGGTGCCTAAAATACCCTTCCGCGAAGGTACTACTTTTTCTTCGAAGGTACTACTTTTTTGAACTGAAGGTACTATTTTTTGGTGTCCAGGTACCATATTTTTTAAACACCCGCGAAGGTACTACTTTTTCTTCGAAGGTACTACTTTTTTGAACTGAAGGTACTACTTTTTTGAACTGAAGGTACTACTTTTTTGTTACGGAAGGGCATTTTAGGCACCACAATTTTCTAAACAGTAAAAAACCATGTACCACCTCAGCAATCCATTTTAGAGAAATATGGAACTTTGACTCAGTCTCTAAGTAAATATGAAACTTTAACTCCATTTATATGTAATTTTCCCTAATTTCTACCTCAGAAGAAAAACATTACTTCTCCTTTGTATAAGATAAATATTTTTTGTTGCAACAGATGCAATGAATGAATTGTGTTTCAACAAATTTGAGTTCATGCTATTGGTAATATCCACAGAGATAATAGAGGGATAGTTACGAATGATGAGTCATCCTTTAGCTGCCACGTTTCAAGGAAACGGTTTTAACGTGTCAACGTCAAAGACATCGAATAACAAAGCAGGGTCGCTACAATCGGAGGAGGTACTATCGGTTCTCTGTGTCTTCCTCTGTATCTCTCGTTCGCTCTGTGATCTCTCTATCTTGCTTTCTCTCTCTACGTGCCGGTGAGACTGCTGATTTATCTATCTCTATCTTGTTGTTCAACTTGTTCTGATCTTGGTTTAGAGTTACGGTGAGAAATCTTCTCTCCCTAACATCCATTTTGTTTCTTCCGGTCTTTCTTTGATTCTGGAAAATCTTCTACAAAATGGAGCATTATGGATCTCTCAATTTGGTTCTGAAGTTTTCAGTGAAGTTAATTATTGAAATATTTCCTAAATTTGTTTAATTTTTTGTTATTCATAGGAATTTGGTTCAATTCGAAGGTTTCTGAAAAACCTCTTGCTGGATATCAAACCAAGGTACACAACTGCTCTGTATACCTCTTGGTTAGCATGGTTCTTGGATATTTGGGCTTTAAATTACTAACGGCTTATTCCACTGTTTTGGTTCGTGCTAAATCAGTATTGCTTATCTGTTTCAATTATTATTATTATTATTTATTTTTTTGGAAGTGTTTGTTTTCAAATTCTAGTCATTAATAAATTTGATTTATGCTTTTAATATGGAAATTGGTCTATTTCTTAAGAATCACATTCAGTCTTGTATGAACGCCAAATATTACATTTCAACAAATTTCAGGGCAAAAAAATCATTCCAGCCGGCCCAATATTTTACAATATAAATATATGATTTTTATACCCTTGTAAAGGTTTTATATACGGAAGACATAAAGTAGTTAATTGAAGTGATCTCTACCACTTGAGATATATATTTATATATGTGACATATTCTCTCAACAAATTTAAATGCAATAATTTTCTTTGCTTAATTGCTTTAATGATTTGAGTTGCATTAGATGATGTCGACAATGATGGGAGGAGTTGCTCTTCCTACGAATCAAATCCCCATGCCCAATGATCTTCATACAACAGCACCATCAGGATCAAGAGCGTTCTATCCTTGGCAACCGTCGCCTGCAGGATTTCTTCCAACATTTAAATGATAAATCAGGTCCTTCTCTTTCCTTTATTTGATTTTAGTTTAAACAAGCTGAGATTAAATTAACAAACCAAATACAAAGAATGAAGGGCATACACCAGGAATGCGGGGTTATAAAATTAAGGCATTAAATGCATAGTGCCTGTTTGGTTCAATTTTCTATTTTCAGAAAACAAAACAATTGAAGTTCGTATGGTTGACAGGCCTATAAATTTTTTTTAATTAAACTTTCGCATTTTATACTTCTCTGAAAACAGTTTTTTTCTTTTTTTAAATTATTGCTATTTGTTTTTAGAAAACTGAACCAAACCAAATAGATTCATAGATTGTCCGAGGTTGCTCGTTAATTTTTTGGTATAAGATTTTATGTTGGGCTTATATTTAGGTGATTTCACTTGCTGTCAACTAGAGTGATTGACATTTCTAAAAATCTACTGTGCAGCATGGTTCAATTGGAACAGTGGAAGCAATTTAGTTAATGCCTCCAATTCTCATTCACCTGAACCTATCAAACTTTCTAAAGATGGTGTCTTGACCAAACCTCCCATTATTTCAAGTAAAGAACATTCGTTTATAGGAGAGTGATGTGGTAGATTGATAGTTCACAAGCCTATGATCTCCACCAATGATGCTAAATGTCATGACATGCATATCATTGTCAAGAAAATCGACCCTCTCCGTGCTCGTCGTGGCCTGGAGGTCAGTCCTGAGCTCAATCTCTCCCACACTTCCTACGTCGTGGCTAGGCCTCACTGATGTTAGAATGGATGGAAAAAAAAACTCCTATTTCAAATTCCAGGATCCTAAGGCAGTTGACTCTATACTTGCCTCGAGACCATGGACAGTGGCTGGTAAGCCTATAATCCTGAAGAAATGGCACCCTGACTAGGAAATGAAACTCAACTCCTTAATTTGCTCCAGTATGGGTGAGGTTTCACAATATCCCTCTCCAATATTGGACTACAAAAGGGTTAAGTAGCAAGTGACATAGGGAGGCCTTTGCATTGAAAATATTGAATTATATAAGGATATGCATTGAAATAGATGTTAGACTAGCTCCAGTGGAAAATATCTAGTTGAAAATTTTTGGCTCTAACTCTACATAAACTAAGGTAAAATATTAAGGGATTCCCTTGTTCTGTTTCTCATGCAATAGGATGGGACATTCATCTTCTACCTGCAGAGGCAACTCTAGTAGGACTGAATCTCTTTAAAATTTGTTCCATCCAAGGCGCAGAGGGATGAACATAAAGATAGAATATATACTGATTCACAAATTGCGACCTACAAGAAAAGGAACTCTCTCAAAACAAAATTTCTTGCAAACCACCTTGCTCCTCTACCTGCCAACTCTCCTACAAGAAAAATCAGCGGCTCCTCCAAACAAACTCTCCTTATTAGTCATAAAGCCAATGCTCCTCCCCTCCATGTATCCCCAAAACCACAAGTTCCTTATTTTTCTGCATTACTAACATCACACAATCTGCAAAAACCCAAACACAAAAAATCTACTCCTCGCACTCCATCCTTAGCCAACCTTTGTGTTCAGATTATAGCCCTTCCCACTCTCCACCTTACAAATCTCCTCCTAAAATTTTCGTCAACCTTTATAAAACCAAACACAAACTCATTGTTGACCTTTTTAGCCTACTTGCAAAGATCTCCCAGCTATCCAAAGTTCCTTGTTGCCCTTTGCTCCAGTTTTATTGCATAAAAAATTGTTCCAATCCTTGGATCATGATGATCACATGGAATAGGACGCAGATAGTGGGAAACAGACTAGTTAATCTGTTAGTCTATCTATTAGCAGTAACCCAAGCATCAAATCTAGATCTAATAAATGAAAGAGACTTAAATATTCAACTCCTCTTAAAAGGAAGACCATGAATGGTCTAGTGGTTCATGTCAACTCTCTCAAAGGCTAAGACATTTGAAGGGTAATCTCAAGCCCTTCCTTAAATGATTAGTGTCTCAGCACCCCTCAAAGTAGCCAGAAATCAAGAACTTTGTAGTTGGGGTAGGCTTAATGGCTATCATTGAGACCAGAGTTAATGAGGAGAATTATGATTCAATTCACATAGCTATTACTATAGATTGAACAAGCAAATTCCAAACATTTGCTCCCTATGTCTTTCCTCTAGTGAATCTTACAACTACTTGTTTTTCTCTTGCCTGTTCACATCCCAATTTGGCAATTAGTTCAATCTCAATCCATCAACTCTCTCTATGGAATGTCCTAATCTATTGGGCAGCTTTTCATTGGAAGGTCAAGCATTTGGCGAATGCATTCAATTAACTAGCACTCTCAGGCTATCAGCATCCACTACAACTAATTAAGATTATTTGTAACGACCCACTCTATCACATGGTATGATATTGTTCGATTTGGGCCCGAACTCGTATGGTTTTGTTCTTGGACCCCAAAAGGCTTCATACCAATTGGAGTGTACCAATCACATATATAACACTTCTCCTTTCCACATCCAGGCGGTGTGGGATTGTACAACTGTAGCTCACTTAATGTGGTAACCTGCCAGTGCCTCTTACACCTGCATCGCACACCCGCTCACAAGGTCACCTTAATAACCAATCCTTAGGGGGCCAACATTCTTGTTAGCCACACTTCCAGTTGGGTCAGACTTTGATACCATTTGTAATGTCCAACTCTACCACATGGTATGAAATTCGTCTGCATTGGGCCCGAACCTGCACGGTTTCGTTCTTAGGTTTTGCCCCAAAAGGCCTCATAGCAATTAGAGTGTACCAATCATATATATAACACTTTCTCTTTTCACACCCAGACGATGTGGGATTGTACACATGTAACTTGCCCAGTGTGGTAGCCTGCCAGTGTCTCTTGTACCCATCACAATTTACGAAAAATTTCGTAGCAAATTGTCCAAAATTCATAACAAAAAGCCTTTTCCTACAAAATTCTAAGAGAAAAAAGAATGTCAAGTGAGTGGAGAGAATACCATAATAGTACCAATTTTAAAATTAAAGGAGATATAAAAAATTGTAAAAATTATAGAGGAATTATATTGATGATTCATACAATGAAATATATATACGGGAAAGGATAATTGATCAACGATTAGGGAAAGAAATATCAATATCTGATGAGCAATTTAGATTTATTTCATTTAAATCTACTATGGAAGTCATATTCTTAATAGGACAACTAGTTGGAGAATATGAGAGTTAACGAAAAGAGTTACATATATATGGGTTTTATAGATTTACAGAGCACATATGATAGAGTGCTAAGGGATATAATTTGGTAGACATTAACTAAAGTTCTTGGTGCATGCAGAGAAACTAGTGGAATATCCTATAAAAGTGGGACTACACCAAGGATTGGTGTTAAGTTCATACTTATTTGCGATAGTGAGAGATGAAATAACAAAATATCTTTAAGAAAACATTCCATGGCGTTTTTTTTTTTTTTTTTTTTTCCCCTTTTTTTTTTTTTTTTCGCGAAAGGCATAGTCTTAGTAGATTTCTTTAAGGAAGGCGTAGCAAAAAAATTAAAAATATAGAGAGAGACATTTGAAGCATGAGGCTTAAAAAATTAATAAAACTAAAATAGACTATATGAAAATTTGATAAAGTAACAAATGATGACAATATAATTATTACAATTTAAGACTAAAATATTACTCAAAATATTTATTTTCATTACCGAGGATCAATACTAAATAAATTAAAAGAAAAATGGAGGTAAGGCTAGTGATATCCTTTGTGACAAAAGAATACCAAATAAATTAAAACAAAAATTATATAGAACAACTATTAGACGAACTACATTGTGTGGAGTAGAGTGCACATTTGCATTGAAAAGACACAAGAACAACGCATCCGTGCATTGAAAATGAGGATGCTATGTTGGATGATAGGAGTTACTAGAAGAGATAAGATTGAGAAAGATTTCAAGTTTTCTGTGGATAGAAAGTTGGTGTTGGTTCCTGGATTCAACAAATTGGAGGAAACTCTTATGATTTTTGGACTATTAGAATCTTTTGAACAAACTCATGTGACTCTCTTATAACATCACACTGAGTGTAGTGTAAGACTGAATCTTTCTTAAGACAATGCATTGGACAGTGTTTCAATCACTAATTTAATGAAAAGTTCTATTTTTTTCCCCTTCACTTCCACTTTCATTCTTTCTTTCTTTGTTGAGAGATTTTGCAGTTCAATTGTCAACAAATTTTGAGATTGGAAAATAACGTTTTCTTGATTATTTGATTATAATATAAACAATAATAAAGAAGTTCGATGTAATATATAAATATAATAGCATAAACTAAAAGGGTATATCGAAAACAGTATGAATCCAATTATATCAGTGTGTCCACCAGAAAGAATTTGTGAATATGTATCTAACAGATCACTAGTTCGATTGGCAGTTTCAACAATTGATAATTCTCAACTGCTTTTCTGCAAACGAACTTTTATTGTCAATTTCTCCTAGTACTGCACATAGCTAACTATTTTCAGTATGTGCTCGATCTACTCTTTTTGGTTGCTGTACCATTACTGATCTTCTCTTTACAGAAACACAATGCTGTTATACTTGAGGATGCAATACAATATATACAAGAAATTCAGCTTCTAATTCAAGTAATCTCTCTCTCTCTCTCTCTCTCTCTCTCTCTCTATATATATATATATATATATATATTTATATGCATGCACCAAATGCTATGTATCCGATTTAGTGATTCGTGTTATTTCCTCGACACATGGTCAATTATCTAAATGATTTAGTGATTTGCTTTTCAATATTGAATTTGTTTAATTATAAATCGATTCAGGTTTGAATCTGATTTTCAGGCTTGCTGAGAAAATAAATTTGAGTTTGGGCAACAGATCTTGGCTTTTTAATGACAAGCATGTATACTACTCTTTGATCCTATGAAATTAATATTAGGCTTACTAGGGGCATATGGGGGAAAAAATAAACCAATTACATGGCAAAACATTTTCAGTTTGTGTAAAACCAATAAAATCAGGTTTATCTCTTATATTATTGTTTGTGTTCCATTATTCGGATTTTTCTACTCATTCTCCAAAATTATATTCAAGCTTGCTAGTTAAGTTTATTTTTTTATTGAAACAATTAAAATCATTGATGGCCTAAAATGAAGCCTAAAACGATCAAATGATCTTAATTGTTTCATTTTAAAAAGTAGAGTTTAAGCAATTGGGTGTGTTTAAAAAACAACAACTGATGTGCTAATGAAAACAACCGACTGCCATGTATAGGTTCTTCATGTATATATGAACGAACTTGATTCTATGCTCAAGTTACATTGTTCATTTTGCTGTGGATATCGAGAAAAATTTTCTTTTTTCTCGCGCCCGTCGCATCCAAACGTTCATACCCTGCTCCATCAAACACACATGACGGTCACAATTCCGGTGATCAGCCATCGAGGCGCACACACACGTACAGTTCTGTTATTCTGGGGAAAAAAATATCATGCAACTTTGACAAAATTTACACAAGTAAATATATAAGTAAAGAACATAATTAGTTACCCACAAAGATTGGTTCAATATATAACTAACTTTTATTGATCAATATATAATTAACTTTTATTGATAAAATTATACAAATGCAACTAATGAATTATTTTTCAAATAAATTTGAAAAGGACTATAAGTCGTTCATGCTAATTGAACAAGTACAACAAAATTATGATATGATCAACAAATAACTCAAACTGGAGGCCCACTAGTGACCAAGTCAAATATGAGTGCGGGTTGAGATTGACAAACCGTTGGCACCAAAATTTGGCAGCCACTCAGAGATGACGTGGATTAATGAGGAGTTGAGAAGTGTTCAGTATGTTTTAAGAGGAGTCAGCCAATAGAGAAGCATTAGGGGAAAATTTAGGAAAATATATTCGGTCACCTCATCAACAAGGTTGTTGCTGAAATATAGCAACAGAGATTTGAATTAATTCAAATCTGGCCGTTGACTGAAAATGAAAGACTTAGAGGTTCAGCTAAAATAGACAACTAAATCCCTATGAAGTAGGAATTTAGTTGGAGAAGAAAAAGGAAGGTTGTACAAGATGGCAGCCGCGACGTGGACAAATCTAAACAAGTGGCATTTACGAGTATTAAATGATGAGCCTTAAAAGAAATACAATGACTACCAAAATTATGGAGAGAAGTTGCTAAAAATTAGCAAACCTTCTAGCAACGAAAGCTGACCAAGTCGAAGGAATTAGTAGATGACAAAGAAGGTATTCAGCTAAGGAAACTGGAAACAAAGATATTAAAGGCAAAGCACACTGGGTTGGACTCAGTTTAAATTACGAAAGGAAGAAGATCAATGAGAAGGAGATATTTTAGAGCAAATGATTAGGGGAATAAGTTGATTAAGACTTATAAATATAAGTATTGTAATTCATTCCAATTTGTCCAGCACCACCTGCAAAACATGAATCAAAATTCATTCAATTAACTCTATTCTTCTTTTGCAATGTTTTAATTATGCTATTTACATTATCAATTATTGTTTTATTCAATTGAATTAAATGGCAATCTTTGATCAGATTCTTGTCATGTAAATTCAACCAGCTCATTTCACTTCACTCTTTATTTTCCATGCAAGTTCCATTCAGCCAGTTCTTTTAAAGTCAATTTCAATTCAGCCATTTACTTTACAGTCTATTTCCATTCAGCCAGCTCATTCAATTTCCTTTAGTTATAACATTTTATTTCTTTTAACACTATTATAAAAAGTTCTTGCAAACAAGGCAGAAAAAGAACCTCGCTGAGAGTTCTTACTATTCTCTCTCCCGCACATTCGTCTGAAGTCATCCACCAACCAAAAGGGATAGTTGGTGTTCAATCATATTTTGAGTATTTACATACTCTGGCACGTCCGCAAAGTCCATCAACCGGTGAGCACAAAAACCACGCGAACACAGACTTTACAAAAAAAGTTGGAGCGAGAGAAAGAGCGAATTATAGAGCGAGAGCGAGAGCTCGAAAATGACAAAATTAAGTCACAAATAGTGAAAATAAGAGCGAGAGTGCATGTAGAGCATGAGAGCGAACACACGTTGAGAGTGATTGTGTGACTTAGCATTCGATTTTATATGGTATAATAGAGATTCACAATACGTCGATACCTAAATTTGGGATCCGTGTCCTATATTAAATCGGACGGATCCCAACACTTTCACATGATAGGGGATCCATCGGATATAAGCACACCCCTAAAGAAAAAGTTGAGGAGATCATCTTGGCTCCCCAAGAAAGATCCTCAGCACCATTCCTCAGCTTCGGTGAGGAAAGTATTGCTCTCAGACAACTCTTGATATGACGTATTAATAACTAGTTATTGCTACAAGTGCAAAGTGCAATTTGTGGATACATTTATTATTTATTTATTGTTTAAATTTCTCAAAGCACTATAACCACACTATTAATTGATATGATTTTTTGTGGTATGGTCGCTTTGTAAATTTTTGTATGACGTTAATTTGATTCTTTAAACTTGAATATTGATTCAACAAAAATAATACATACTATGAATTCGGAGATGCTGAGTGTTGTGTGAGTGGAACATAGTTTCACCATGTGACATTCTGGTGGGGCATGGCTCCACCATTTGATATTGTGATGGAACTCATACCTTCACTTACATATTCTCTATTCAACATCTATCGAATTTGAAAGATGTAGTATTGCTCTTGATCCAAACTTAACGTATTTGTGTTCATTTTTTAACGAATGAAAATGATAGGGAAATTTACAAGGTTTTTTACTTATGGAATCATTTGTCAAATTTATAATTTAGGAAGTTATTTGTAAATATAAAACTTTTTTAAAAAAGCCTCTCATGCATCCGAAGATAAAGTTACAACTGAGGATTTTTTTTTAAATAAAAATAAAAAGTATACCCTTTCTTTTCAGGACCTGTTGTTGATTGGAATATAACCTAGTAATGTCTTTTTTTAGTTGTCTCAAAAATCCTAAATAAAGAATCAACAACATACTAATCACATAAACATATAATTACCTCTGCATATAAACATTTGGCTTGACAAATGTTTTTGTTATGCGTTTTTTATTCACATGAAGTACAAGTAATGTTAAGTTATTTTGTCATCCAGAGAGTATTTCTAAATGAAAATATATTTGGTAACTAATTTTTTTGCATAATGTTTCAAGCAAAAAAAGTAAGAAAATATTTAAATATAAAAATATATATGATATTTACAATATATTATTGTAAATTTGATTATTGCAAAAATTCGATATTTGTGTAATAATCCTACACTAACTTATTATTTTAATCTATTCTCTAACTTTGGTGGCAATTGTGGAAAACAAAAAACAAAAAACAAAAAAACTTTGGTGGCAGTTACAATGAGTGAAAGATCGAAGTCTTATTAGGACAACGCATTGGACAAGTGTTTTGCACTTATATATATACCTGACCCGGTATAATAAACACAATAGAACTGTCGTGACAATTAACTTGAGCATGGTAGTGAGATAACCAATCCATCCTAAGTATCACATCATAAGAATGCATGTCCAAGACCAATAGGTTGGCTAAAAATCCAAGTCTACCAATATCTAGTATCAAAGGCCCATCACTTTAATGCAAAATAGAAGTAACACCTATAGGTGTACCAATACTATGGGGTTGATCACATAACTACGTAGTCATCCCAAATAATGCAACAAATGAATTAGACACAAATGAATATGTAGCACCCGTATTAAACAAAACACGCCCATATCTACCGTGTATAGGAAACATACCCTCAATAGCCTGAGGAGTTTAAACGTCCTATGGCATATGGTTATACACCCTGCCATAATGCAATTGTTGGGGTGCCTGTCCCCGTAGTGGCCGTGGCGCCGGTAAAGCCAGGAACGCCTATCCCTGAATGCGGGGAATGGTGGTCGCTGCCCCTGCAGCACATGATGTCCCTGTATAGCCTTGGGACACCTCTTAGTTGTGTGCCCAAACTCTCCACAACCATAACCATAGCCTTTGGAAATGCCAAACTGTTTCTTCTGCTGGTTACCATGAGGTTTACCTTATACTGTCTGCGGTGCCCCATTCTGCTATCTCTGAATAAGTGCCCAATCTCTCTGAGCATCCGAACCACCCTTGTACTTCTTCCAAGGCTTTTGTCCTTAGAATCTGCCCTTATCATTCTATCTGTGCCCATTACAATTTCCTTTCTCTATTGACTGATTAGCAGTCTTTGTCACCTTGCTTGTTACCCCTAGTTTGTCTGTACTCCATCCTTAGCTGGTAAACCTACAAAGCGGTGTCCACTACCTGAGTATTAGTAGTGTAGGCTGGACTACCTATGATGACCTACTTAATAAGCCAGATCGGCCCATTAACAAAGCAATTATGCTTCTTCTCCTCGATATCCACCTCATCTGGAAAAAATAGAGATAAGCGGGTAAACTGTTGCTCATACTCTGCCACGATCATGTCACCCTGCTGTAGGAATTCCCTTTTCTTAGCTACTTTGACTGCATATGGAAAGTATTTCTCGCGAGTACTGAATTGAGCATAAGTCAATGAAGTCCTATCATCTGCGATGGGAACTGACTCCCACCACTGGAGC